ACTCCCCGGAAAGGATAATAGCGCGTTCGTTCCCCACCATAGACACATGCGGTCCAGAGTTTTGCAAATATCTCAGCAACATTGTGATTGATCAATAAGTTCGTATTTTATAAGCTCGAGGTGAGATTATAAGATTGACACGATGTTGTCAATAGTATTTTTCCATATCGGTAACGTTTTGGCTGATTTCCACCTCGTCAGAGCATGAAGGGATCACATTGGTGCAAACTTTCCTCAGTCAACTACTTTCATAGGCCTAACAAAAACTTCCAGAGCTTGGATCCTAATCACATGCTAAACATTTCCTTAAAATACTCATTATTTTTATTCTTCTACATAACAACGGAGACCGGTTTTTCCCGACCTTACGTAAGATGACGAATTTGCCTGTCTGAGATCCGTTGCCTATTTGTTTGTGAAAGACAAAAGTAAAGGTAACGAACCAGTGCGTTTTTGTTCCTTGGTTTCCGGTGCCACAATGTTGCCGTGGAATTGGAAAATTGATTTGAACGTTCGAGAATGGAAGCCAGTTTTCTACGAGTTCTCTCAGATTAATTTCGTATCCATTGGCTGTCCATTCAACAGCTCAAATTCTTGGTCGATCTCCTCTTGTGTAGAAGGGATAACGATCACTGATATGTACATAGTAGCAGCAGGAGGCCGACAAGTGGAGCTCTCTCTCTAAAAAGGAATGAATGGGTGAAATGATTTCGTGCCAGTCGTTGTACCATTTTAAACCCTCTTATTTGTGCGAAGCATTTCTCAAACCATTTAAAGACTGTACAGCTAATACATTTCTTTCAAACCTATGAGCTTGTTAGTTAGCAAGCTATATGAAGTACTAAACATCGAAGGACTCCACTACGCTGTTAGGGCACACCGTAGATGATTTTGGAACACTCGAGTATTCGTGATGGTCACTACAGCAAGAAGAGGTTTTGCTGTAACTTCACAGCTGCGCATAAATCTGTTATGTGAGAGGTCCGAGAGCTACTAAACTCAGTAACCATTGATCAGTTAAAGTAAACGAGAATAATTTGCAAGTATTCCTTGTCACTTAGATGTTGAGATATCCAAAAAACATGTTTCTTTCTTTCATCAATCGTTATTTTGAACGGAGTTCAAAATTTAGTAGGGAAAACTGAATAGTAAATACTCATAATGCCGGGTTTATATCCCTCACTTAGCAACCTTCCAACATGTCTCGCGTCATAATGACCTATGAAAACTTATAACTTCTACTACTGATAAGTATCTACTGATAATTTGGCGTCTAGAGTTTCATCACCGTTCAAAGTTGCGCTCATAATCGGCTGCGGAGGCACTATATCTTGTTAGCACAAAGAGACGGTGAAGGACAGTTATCGAAGGTTCCCAGCAATACACATGTGGTTGCTGGTTCAATCCCAGTACCGAGCATACCTTGAATATCTTAGATTTCAGCAAATTGATTGAGAGGCTGAGAACAGTGACTCGATGGAAGAGAAGACTTCCGGAAATCAGCTATTCGCATTTAATAAGCTCTACGATGCTACGAACGGAGTTGAAGGCATAGCGCATTCTACACGAATGGTTCAAAGCTACAGACTTCACTTCTTCTATTTTTGTAGTACACGAAATCAAGCTAAAGAATGATGACAAAGAACTTGATAATATCATCTGAGACTCCAGGTTGAAGTAAACTGTGGCGTAGCTCGTGCTGGCTACTCTGGCTTCTTCATCGTCAAGAACAGCAAAGATACAAGATCGCGTGAAAAAAGTGATGCATTTGCGTCTAGTGGATCGGCGGAGACTACTAGCACTGGTGTAATTACGAATTACTGGTGCAAATTTTTACTCTAACTTGACGAATAGCAGGATTAGAGCTTGCAATTTTAAGTTTATCAACATACAAGTTGCCTATTGAAAGTGTTGTTTTTTTTCTTATTTTTTCTTTCCTCCTTTTGTTCTTCTTTGTCCATTATTTTGGTCAATTTTTTCGATCCATTTTTGTGTTAAAATAAACTTTATAAAGTTCAATGTATTTGCGTGTTACTAGAAGTAGAATGGGTAGTGGAGAGAAAAAATCGGCATGTTAAACAGAAACTGGACATAAGAAATAGGCATTGAAGATCAATCGGTTTCTTAGCTCCTTTTAGAATATTCATAGCAGAAACTCTGACGAAAAATCGATGCAAACCGTTTAAAAGCCTGAGATTGGGAATCGGTGAAACAATGTCTATGGAGAACACTTTAGATGTGATTCAAAGAGGAACTAGAAACGAGTTAACAAGTCAAGAAATCTATTAGGGTTTTGAACTCCAAACTGATTGTAGCGAAGTGAACTACTGAATGTTCAGAAATTTGCTCTACAACGCCTTCTAAATCGTCACACGAAATGCCATTCGGACCTGAAACGATACCTATGCACATTTTGTGGAAAGGGATTCAATGACACTTTCGATCTGAAGCGTCATACCAGAACTCACACAGGTAACCATTGACACAGCGGTTGTCTTAAGGCTTAGCGCGGCTTTTCCTGCGACGTGACACTTACACGCGGAGATCAGCTTGTACGGCAGCTGCACAACTCGACTGGCGGAAAGAAATCAGTAAGCAGAATGGTTCAAAGTATCGTCATGCTCACTAACACCCACCTTTGTAGATGACAGATCCATGAGACAGATTTCGATTGTGATCTATAAAATCAGGAATAAGTTTCTTCTTGTGCTCTGTAAAAATCGATCCTGCGATATCGATATTCCTTTTAATGTGGGCCAGATATGCCCAGCCACTTTAAAAAAATGGTTTCGGTTCCTATTCCACCGATGCTAATCTCAGTCCTGGCAGCAATACTAAAGCAGCACGCTCGTACACCGCCCACGCAATGCACGCTAATTCAAAATTGCTTTGGTCTATTTGGGTCGTTTCTAAATTCTCTAGATAGAAAGACGGATTATGACGACAAAAGACCGACTTCTTATTACACTCGGCGTTGTTCACTAGTTTTTGTATTCTTGCTGCTCCGAGCGATGTCGCTATCCTACACTTATTGGGTTTCGAACCATAAGTTCTCTTCGCCGCTCATCAACTTTATGCTGCAAACGACCGACCTCATGGTATGGCATGCAAGAGTTTTTTTTGTTAGTTCAAGACGTTGCGAGAACTGCTGAAGTATGCGCTGGTTCAAAAATAATGGAAATAAAAAACAAAGTGGGATAAAAAGAGCTTCTATCGTAATAGAATTCGTATATAAATCTTCTAATGAATACTCCTCGAACAAACTGTCGACGTAGGCCATTTCAATGTTTACTATAGCATAGGGGACGCTCCACTTTTAGCCCGACTGTACCACTTGCGATGATGCATAATTTTCAACCTTATAAACTTTTTAGTTTTTTGACAGTAAACGATTCGATAACTAAAGGTTTTTAGGGGTTGTCGACACAAAGCGATTGTAGAAAGACTTGCTCTATCCTTTTTTAGGGTAGGAGGGGCATGTATGCTACAGTTTACTATGTGCTACTACGGTTTATCATGAAAACATGTTGCAGTCAATATTTGGAAGTGTTTTCCAGTTTTCGCTTAGTGTATTTCTCTACTCTCTATAGTCACTCATTGTATACGATGACGGTGAATCACTATAGCGATTAGAGTTGCTGTAACAGTCAACTGAGAGTGAAATTATTAACAAATGAACTTGGCATTTGTCACTTGAATGACCCGTCCTCACTGGTTGTGCGGGCACCAGCATAATCTCCATTTTTCGGAGATTTGCTAGATAAGCCATTGCGGTTCCCTGGAATCCCGAGGTCAGTCTGGCCAAAGTCTGCCCCTTCACCACCACAGGCAGTTGCAGCCATTGTGGATCAGAGGGAGATTTGCCACCATGCGGCTCTCATACCTGGACGATGGTGGATCCTGGTGTTGGTTTACTCGTAGCTAGGCTTTTCAATGGGAACGCCAGACTCCTTCTCAATTTGGGAGACCCTGCCAGGGAATGAATTCTCCGCTGCACATTGCAGTCCGACACTCAGGAACACCTCCCAGCCACGATGAGGTGGTAAACCATTGGGAGGTAACAAATGAAGACACGGGAGAAAAGCTTTTTTGCATGTGTATTCTTTTATTGATGTTTATTTTATTCGGTTGACGTTTCGATGTCTTCGTCTTCATAAGAGCCTACGATCCGAGTCGGTAGTCCACAATCGTCCCTACTCTCAATGTGGTACCTTCATCGTCGTATCGACTCGTGTAAGCTTACCAATTGAAAAAAAAACGTATTGATTAGTCGTGCCGGGGTTAAAGGAAAGTGGTAGGTTTTTGAAGCATTCTTTTATGTATTTATAAGTGGATTCTTTCTCGGCCAACGTCTACCACATCATTTGTCTTGGATATCTGCCACAACATCTGCCTTGGATAAACTACGGACCGATTACATACAGTGCAGAAGAAGAGTTCTGTATGGGAATATAAACCATTAGATCGTATAGGCTGCGTATGGACGTACACATTCTTATTGGCTGTCATGTTTTAACTCTTCGCTACATAGTGCTTTTTTCTTAGAAGATTATTTCAGATGATTTTCGGAAGTTCGGAGTGATAATGTTCCCAAGGCACGAAAAAGGCATCGTTCTAAAGCATGAGGTCTTTTATACTTGGTTCTACCTTCGAAAGAAAAGCTCAAAATGCTATCGAAGCATGGAGCCAGTTCGCCTCATCTGAAAGACCACTGCACGGATGATTCGTTGGGTATTCATCCGGAGATGTGAGCCTTTTTGACAAAGAAGTCAACTAGTCGGCAGTCGACTACGACTATCTTGAGGTGATAATCATGACTATTCCTCTAGAAACTACAAAGGAGGTCACGGAAAAACTGTTCGCTAGCTATTTAATGATCACTGAAAATTTCAACCTCATTCGGCATGCTTGCTAGGTCTTTCAGTAGCTAAGAACTATGCTCTTTAAACATTTCAAGAACTGTGATCTGAGAAAACCTAACAATGAAACCGTCGCTAATGACACTTCCGATGGATTCCACGATTTCACAGCCTCGGAATGTTGTGCTTTCGGAACAAGCTAACATGTTATTGTTTACGAAGATACGCAGTCGACTCTTATTTCAAGTAAATGGTTTAGTCTGAGCAATGAGTTGTGCCATTTAAAGGTTTTTGTTCAAAATTCGGCTATTACTTCCGAACCAGCCTATATTTTCTAAACTTCCTCATTCAAATAAACCGGTTCGTCACACTGCATTCATTTATGAGACAAGAGACCTGAGAAATACTCCAGGAATGGGGCATTTGATTATAAACTTAATGATTTAGACAATCTTTTCTATGGCATATTCTTGAGGAGTACGTCCGTACAAGTGCGAACAATGTGATAAGTCTTTCACCCAACGATGCTCATTGGAATCACACATGAGGAAAGTGCATGGTGTACTCCACAACTACGGCTATAAGGAGAGAAGGAATAAGGTTCTTTTTTCAAACGTTTCAACATTTGATAAAGAAAGTAGAAATCACGTAAAAACTCACTCTTCTTTGAAAAATTGTCTAGAACGCCTACTAAAATCTTATGGGAAAACGAAGGGTGTTGATTGCGGCGAGTAGAGTTCTTCAAGAGGGATTTACAGAGTAACTTTTGTTCACAAGACCACGATTTTCCATAGTGTTATATGGAGTTCGATGTAAATACATTCTTATAAAATAAGGGAAAGCGGAATTTCATTGGCATTCCGTACATTCTAAGAACTCCTATGCGGTGTGATAATGAGTTAGTCGTGATTTCTCACAAAAGGGTTGGCTTCGTCTTCAAAACGCTAGCGAGATGATTATTTCATGAAAGAAAGAAGATTTATCAACTGGTAATAAGCTAGTTTTTTACCTAACGCTGCCATCAGCAATCAACCTAACGGGTGATTGCGGAATGGTACCCGGCCGTGAAAAATTATGGTAGGCAGCAAATAGAAGGTTAACATTTTGATTTCGGCTATAGCCTCAGCTTAACTGAGTTCAGTGCCGATTTGTGCTCTCAGATCAATCGCACAGACGGGTGATTGCTGATGGCAGCATTAGGTGAAAACTAACTGAGAGAAACTCAAAACAAGGGCCTCAGTGGTGCAACATGTAATACGCGAGTCCCCGGAAAGGGTAATCGTAGTTTAACCTGGCTCGGTGCCGAAGTTATGTGAATATCTCAGCATCGCTGCCGTTGTATTTCACCTCATACTCTACTATAAAAAATTATAGTAGGCAGCAAATAAAAGGTTTACCGTTGTAACCTCTTGTCAGTTTAATAATCCTAGAAAGCATTGATTGTTCAAGCCGAAGCTAAATGACGGTTGGTTCTCAAAAACACATTACTGTTAATGTATAACTTTTACCTACAACCCATTATTTGTTTAATGGCAAGATGTTATGTGAAATACAACCGCAATGATGCTTACACATTTGCAGAACTCGGACCCCAGGCCAGATCGAACAGTGATTACCGTTTCCGGTGCTCGCGTTTAACACACGGCACCACTGAGGTCCTCGTTCTGCCTTCCTCACTTTTTATCCTAACGGTGCTACCAGCAGTCATTCATAAACAAATAACTTTTGCTCTACTTGTTATCTCGTTGCCTGCTTCGGCTTCGGGTGCGATGAATTCCGGACATAACATTGCAGAATGTTTATCTGATCGTCATGCTTGTCGTTCCGTCAATCCAGAAAAATGGAACTGACATCAAGTTCACCACTGTCGAAGTGGAAGATCAAATCTTTTAGGTAGTTATGTGGAATGGCTTTAAAGGTTTCGGTTTCTGTGGGTCATTCAGTACTTACTGTTATTTCGCATCTATTTCATTTATGTACAAGACGTATTATTCCTCCAGTCATGCAGCTCTAGTATACACTTAGCTCGCGCGCTTCAATAGTGCATATTTGATACCGTTACCTTACTTCTTTTCCGACAGGATTAATTGGAGAGTGGATCTGACATTATCTTTTGTTTTACTTTTTATTTTTTGCCTGCTACAATTTTCATGGCAGGAACTAGGCGAAATACAACCACAACGTTGCTGAGATATTTGCAAAACTCTGGACCGCAGGTATCTAAGGTGGGACGGGTGATTGCTGATGGCAGAGGTCGATAGAACTAGCTGAGAGACAGGCAAAACGAAGAATCCGCATGGTGTGGTGGTGAACGAGTTACTCCCCGGAAAGGATAATAGTGCGTTCGTTCTCCACCGCAGATACCTGCACTCCGGAGTTTTGCAAATATCTCAGCATTGTAGTAGTTATATTTCGTAAAATACCCTGCCGTTAAAAAAAGAATAGGCAGTAAATAAAGAGGTTAAGATTATCTCAGTAACGTTGTCGTTCTATTGTCTTTTGTGTCGGAATTTCCTCCTATCTTAAAAATCAGAAATTTTTGGTCATTCGTGGTAAAGACGACGTAGTCATCAGTTGGTGTTCAGGCTGCCGCCAAAACATAAAGATTGAGTGTTCAGCACTCACACACATTTGCCTACGAAGTTAAACTTTTTGTGTCTAGCTTGGTGAACCTTTGAAGTTGTTCTGCGGTGTACACGAGTTCTTTGTAACCCGATTAAAGCGATGTTTTCGCTGTTCTTTATAAGTGTAGTAGGAAGAACTTTTTCTCTGGTAATACAGACCGCATTGGCTAGTATGTTTATTGGATATGGAAAACCTCATAAGGAAGAAACTATGCCGAAGAAGAAAAGCTGGATGGAGTACGTTTCTCTACCTCTCGGAAACGCCTACCGTCGGCCAACGGACTAGGAATACTGCGTTCGTCCCGCATACACAGATCAGACTTGGGTTGATATCTCAAGAATGTTAAAATTCAGTGTATTGCGCACATAGTGATTACAAATTACAACCACACAACGCTTAGAGCGAGGCTTTGGAGTTCTGATCTTTGACAGTTATTCTATCTTCGAGATCACAGGAGGTATACGTGAAAACCAAAAGCTAATGGGCGTGTCATATAATGAGGAATATCGATAATAGATGGATAAAGAGAAAAGGAGAATGAGCTTCATAAAGAACAAAGCGTCTCTTAGGACGACTGTCTTGAAGACGGACAGACTTGTTTGTGTCCTGCGTATCCCGGCTTGTGTCCTGAGTAACTCAGCTCCAACAGTTGCTGAAAACGATTGGTCAATTGAGATCGATGACCATCATTGAAGCCGACCATTCCCATGGACGATAGCATGGGAAAGAAAAAAATAGAAAACGTGGTAGCACCAGCAGTACCAATGATGGCTGATAGTTCAAGTATTCACATTGTCAGAGCCCTATTTAGGTGAACTTCTTTACGTGAACCGAAGTCGCAAAACGTTAAGATCCCAACACTATTTTCCTTAAATTTTTTTCACCTTGCTTTCTCGCCGAAATCATTTGCAAGGGAGCTCGCATTTTGGTCCTCTGTATGGATGTCATTGAATGCTGGTAGACTAGGTTGTTCATGGAGTAATGGGATAGCTATGAAAGGATGTTCCTAGGCCCTCACCACAGGCGGCCACCGAAGTTATTGGATGAGACAAAACGCTTTTCGGACAAATATGCTAGCAATTTTTTGATCTCTGAGCGATTGAGAATTTAACTGGTCCGGGTGGGTTGGACCACGGCCCTGTGTGTATTATTGAGCGGCAGCTCTGCCACACCGCTACGTGTTCGCTGAGACAGGTATGGCAAGATTAGTCCGTCGCATTTGGTGTAATAGCACGAGTACGATCAAATGAGCAGCGAGAGGACAAGACTTATTAGGTTGACGGCATTGGTGGTTGTTGTGTCATTATTAAAACGTTCAAAGATTAGTTTCTGCACAATGATTTAAATTAGTCGGTAAATACTATCAGGGTAGACATACTCCAATGAAGACTTTATAGTTGCACTGCTTCCTTGAAAAATGTAAGGATGATCGCGATGGAGTTCATTGCTACCAGATGTATTCGTTGTTAGCAGTTGCATATGTACATGCCAGCTTAGAACGATCGAGCTAAGCGCTGATCCTTTAGTTCACCTAAAGAACGTATAAAGTTAGGTGGCTCTTGGATTGTTTACATTGTTTCTCATACATATTGAGAAGTTTTTGTATAGTCGGTTTGAACATGGTTGCACTCATTTGATTTGAATGTCGAGTAGTCTACCAGAAAGAACTGCGTTGTTCACTACACAGCATTCTGAAGGAATCGAAAAAAGTGAACGAAGGTTCAGCAATACTGATAAAGTTTAGGTTGTTTATAAGGCGATTATAGAGAGCTCTACATTATTTAGGCTCTATATTATAAGTAGTGTAAACGTGCTCTTCATGAGCGATATGAGAACTCGGTTCAATACTTCCGTCAGGAACTGGTGGAGGCGGAGGAGAACTTAGTGAAATTGAACCGGTTATCAGGCCTGTGGGTATATGCGTTCACCATAATAACTATCTGAAGCGCTAGGCGAAACTTATTGATTTCGACCTCTTGAGGGTAATTTGGTACTCCAGTTAGGCGCGCACAATGCACACACGCATAGCGGGAAGATTAGGAAGTAGAGATCATCATCCTCACACAGAAGTCTAAAACTTTATCGTATAAAACCCTCAAAGCATTCCGGGTAAATTCCAAGAATCCCAAAATTAACCGCAGACACGAATTCGATCATGCGAGATCTCATGAAATACCTCAGAATGATTTTTTACGCAAAAGGGGTCATTATCTATCATTGTGAGCTCTGTCGTTTGCCATCCACGTGGAAAACCCAATGGAAGACTAACAGAGAGCGGTGACTGTCTGAAAAAACTATTTTGTCTTTGATGTGATTAAAAATTAACCGTGGTGGTTTATCTGCTGGAAGTTGGCTGTTTTGGCAGACTGGATCAACTTGACCCTTCCAAGTTGCGAAGAGGGCGAAATCACCCGAAACGTTAGCTACTACTGGTAAATTGTGCGGCTACTCGCGGCTACTTGTCAATGAAACGACCACTTCTTTAAAGTATTCAACTAGCAATAGTCATATGCACCAACGAAAGCAACCAAGTACATAACGAACTTTTTAAGAGAGAGCAAGAACGCTAGTGCTGCATTTGACCTGAAACAGGTCCACCCTTAAAAACAGTTTTTTATTCGTCAGAATCATTGCGGTGGCAAGGGATTGATAGGTTTCTCCACAAATTCCGCAAATAACCGTTTCTTCCACAAACCGAGAAGTTGGAGTAAATGCTTTCCGTATTGATTCAAACGAATGAGTGCATGAAATTTTACTGCATATCGTGGTAGATGAAGCAGGATGATTCATACAGGAGAACGTGCAAAGCCACTATCGTTCTTATCTACCCTATTTTCCTCGGCTTTCATCGTGTTTCATGAAATCGCATGAAATTTAATGTAAATATGTTGCTATAAAATATGTGTAGTGTTCCGTTCAAAATACTTTATTTTTGGGCGCGTGTGGCGCAGTGCTTAGAGGAGCCACTGCGACATGCACGCGGAATCGTTCCCTGTGCCCATGGCCCACCAAGCCCTCCATCTCTCCGGGGTCGGCAAATTGGTAACAGGTTTATAGGATAGCAGCACTAGCTCGATACATCGGTAGGCCACCGCGAGTCATTGTAAAGGCCAGATATGAATTCAGTCACCTCCAACATAATGAAGTCAAATGCTAGGCGCATCCCTCAGGGATTGATCAACGCTGAGAGCTCCATCCTTTATCCTTTTTACTTAATTTTTATTGAAGTTTCATTGCTGTTTTGTGAGTGAGCGTTGGGTGTTTAGCTGAGAGGTGAATTCCTTTCTCAAAAGGTTCCATTGAAGTCGTCGGACGTTTAAAGAATTCCTGAAGAGCTCCTTATTCTGAATTAGGCCATTGTCGTTTATTTGAAACTTGTTTGGGCATTTGACTGAGAGCTAGTGGTTAGAATTTAGGGAACTCGTTATTACAAACATGTTCTTTATAACGCAAAAGTTTCAGGTGTTCGTGTGCGAAGAGTGCGGCTTCACATCTGAACTATTCGATGTGTACGTCTCCCATCTGAAGATGTTACATCCATTCTCCGCCTCTCTAATTCGAATATCGGCACCACCGAAGAAGCTGCAGGCCGGTTCCAAAAGCTCACTGCCTATTAGACTCTTTGGGGCAGTTTATGTCATATCATTCATACTACCCATTCATTGTGGTTCATAACCTTTTAAAATTGAGCGTTTTATTCCTTTTATTCCTTCATAAGTGAACACGGGGTGATATTTTACTTTCTATTCACAAAATGGAGGAGCGAGGCACAGTGGTTGGAGGCGCACTGCAACACACACGGAATCAATTCCCACGCCCATGGTCGACGAAGTTTCCGTCCCTCCGGTGTCGATAAATTGATACCAGAGTTGTCAGAGAGGATAGCAGGACTGGCTCGATATATCGCTAGACCGCCGCGAGTCATTATAAAGGCCGGATATGCATTCAACCACCTCTAAACGATGCTAAGTGAAATTGAATGCATGGTGCACACTAAGTGATTGATCAACGCCGTGAGCTTTATCCTTTTTTACTCACAAAAAGCCAAAGTTTCTTCAAATTTCAGCCTTTCCAGAATTTGAAACGATCAAATTGACCTAATTTATTGTGCCAAATACCTCCACGACAGCAACAGAAAGATCATGAAACCATTGTTTCATTCGGCATTGAGAACAAAATACCTTCTTCGCACACTCGCCGCTTCCTGAGTCTTCCAATGAGTATTTCACATGAAGACCAACCGCACAGACTTCGCATGGGTGGATAACGTGACTCTCTCACATTAAAACACCAGTCTTCAATATCATGTGAAATCATGTGTGATCACAGGGAATTCCCGTCTGTCTTCCAACTTTGGTTTTCTGAAATTCATCCAAATTTTTCGTATTCTTGTTGAACAAACGCGTGGTGTTTTTTTTCTTTATTTACACACAAGCCGACGTTTTGGTGGATTTCGCCTTCTTCAGAGCCTGGAAAGGTCAAGTTGACAGCAATCTATTCGGCCAAACACCTCCACAACCAAACAAAGAAAACGCTAAACCAAGATTTCAATCACATTGAACACAGAATAGCTTCTTTGCTCACTCACCGCTTTCTATGAGCCTTCCACTGAATATGTCACGTGAAGACCAACAGCGCAGAATTCATATGGAAGCGTAATGTGCCCCTACCATCGGAATAACAGGCTTATATACTGTCCAATAACAGGCATGATAATGAGGCATTCTTCGTTGCGGTTCATTTTCGGATTTCTGGAATTAATCCAGAGTGCCTCGAGAGTTTTGCGCGCTTGTATTCTCGATTCCTGTGAGAAAATCGTGACACGAACTTCAAAGTCTTCTCCGTTATGTCTCTGGGTCCTATGCGTGCCTAGCGGGGTATTTGGTCTATTTTTGCCGGATAGGTGTTCTTTTATGCGGACACAGAGAGGTCTGCCCGTTTCGCCAATGTATTCGTCACCACACGTCTTACAGGAGATCAGATAAACTATACCCGAGCTTATGCAATCACCGTCTCTACCACTGGGGCAAATTATGCAATTTTGCGTTGCACATAGACGGTCGTATAGGCGGTTACGAACTACCTCGCGCCTAAGATTACCCGGTGGCATTTCAACTACGTTTACCGAGTTCTCTACACCCGCCCTTCACCCGCAGCGTTTTATATCTGCATTTACATCATTTGAGATGAAAGGTAGAATAAACGGGACCTTTTATCTTATTTTTTTTATATTACCCAAATTCGTTCGAGAGGTTTTCGCGTTGAAGTTTTAGATTCCCGTACGAGCATCGTGATTTCCTCTTTGAAATCTTCTACCTTGCCTTGTGTTATGCACGTTTGGTCGAATGTTTTGTTTCATTTCAAGTTTACCATTCTAGGTGTTCTTTTAAGCGGATACGGAATAGTCTACCCTTTTTGCAAGCGTATTCTTTCTCATAAGTTTTACAAAAAATCATGTAAACCGTGCACAAACTCATGCGATTACGTTCTCTACCACTAGGGCATATTATGCAATTTACGTTGTACAAAGGCTGTGTCATACACCCTGTTGCGATCTAGCTGGCGTCTTAGAGTGCTCGATGGTATTTCAATCACTGTTACCGAATCCTCTAGACCGCCGCTCTTAAGCTTGGGTCTTCCACCACACCTATCGTGAGGAGCTACAGTTTCGTAGCGAATAGAAATGGCTGTTTGCTGCTTCCTGTTTCTTACAAGCGCCTCTTTTACATGTGTGGGGTAAGAGGAGAGGTGATGAGCCAGTATGGATTTACTACTTACCCACTAGTATCATTTCGTAATGTTGGCGTTTTGAAGTAGCTTAGCTAGAACGTCCAGAAATTGAAGCCCGTTTTCTTTCGGTTTCCGTCTCTGGTAAACTTAATCCAAATGACAGCAATCCTCTGTATGTCTACGGCGAAGTAATAGCCGGAGGTAGACCGCTACTGCTTCCAACTTAGAAGTTAATGAAATGACAAGGCTTGGAGCCAATCGTTTCATCTTTTATTTTTTACAATCTACAAGATCGGATTCTGTTCTGTCTCCGTTATAAGTGAGTTGAAATCGCAAACGACTTGCGTGATTGGTTCGATTAGGCAATCGCCGTTGTCTGCCTTAAATGGCGGCGCTGAATCTCCACCTTCATTTTGAAAGCAGTCCAACCTTACCACTGCTCTAATTTGCGTAATGCGAATCAAGCAACAATTGCTGGACCTAGCAAGGAACAAAAGTGGTCAGCAAAATACCAAAGCTTACAGCAAGGTGAAAATATGCCTGCTTTTTCAGGTACCGTCGCCAACAGCGAGTACAGCGGCAATGACCTAAATCTAGTTTTTTGGACATATTTTGCACTGTTTTATAGTTTTGAGCGCAGTTGCTATGTTTGTTGTTTTGTTACTATCTTTCCATGTCGTTTTCATGACTGAGTAGAATGACATACAACCTCAATGACATAAGTATCCGATGACAATTCCCATTGATGTTTTACTACTGTATTCACCTTGTATGACAGTTTTTCTGAACCCCATGGCAAATGACTTCGTGACAGAAGTGCGCTATGAGGAAGCCTGCGCTAAAGAAGGGAGTTATTTGGAAAGCACAAGAGAATACGAGTCGCCAAATGATGTCAGCCGATTAGTGCTAGGATTTCTAATTCCTCGCACACCTTGTGAGTCGAGATTTATAGTATACGAAGGAACTACGGAGGTTCCTAATATTGAATGCCAAACGATAAGATTTTAGAGCCTCTAGACAGCTAAAGCGAATTTGCGCTCTTTTGTGAAAGACTAAAAGTGATTTTTTGGAGTGTGGAATGTATTAGTTTGACGCTGAAGTTCAAATCGTCTTCAGCACTTGGCGGTGTCGTACCGTAGCTTCGGCTGGCTGTTAAATCCAAGTACTTAACATGTGCTCATTTCATTTGATAGGTTTATTTTAACGAGCATGGGAAAAAGTAAGTGGTGTAATCTACTTTTTGTAGTTCTAGAAGGCCTCCTAAATGGAATGAAGCATGGAGGATTTCTGACATATCGTACTGTTTTGTTTCTGGAAACAAAGGATTAAATCACGTGCTGAAAGAAAATTATGCACTGAAAAGGATGCGTTTAAAGATACGTGAGGTTTTCATAAAAGAAACTATGATATCGGGGATGCGTGAGATTCAAAGCGACCGTCTACAATGGCTTGAGAATAGATGCTTCAGTTGAAAGCACCGGCATCGAACGAATGAAAGATCAAGGAAATACTGTCAACGAAGTACTCTATCAACGAAGTACTGTCTATCAACCAACCAACGGTTTCGAGTTCATTACGACCGCATGAAGTGAAGTTGTCTGGAAGAAAGTAGAATAAAACAGATTGATAAAGCGACTTCTTGCGTGCCACTGTCTTTTCACGTGAGAAATGAATGGTATAATAACATGGAGCAAGGAAAGCTTTACTTGACAAACTATGGAGCATCCTCTGCCACAAGCATCTTTTTGTTTGGAAAGGCTAGGCTGGGTATTTATTGAGATCCGAAGGTGGCTTTACACTGTGAGCTACTGCCACAAAATTAAACCTCCAGATCGAACAACACTGCGCACTACTGACCAAAATAAAGCTGGAAATCAAAGCAAACCGCTGGAATAAATGAGGAAGAAGTAGGACTGTGATTTATCTAAGCAAAAGTAGTACACCTCCCCTACCAAGTGACATGACAAGAACCTCTATAACGTGAAAAGGAAGATTTGATTGATCCACCTTATTCGCCCAACCTCGCACCCTCTAAGTTTGGTATCACACGGGTATCCTCGATATGAGTAATTTGCCCACAAATTTCGAGAATTTCTAAAGTCAAGGAATCACATAGTTACTGAAAAAGTCAGATCATCGAGCGAAACTACTAAATCAGATTAGCTGTGATTTGAAGTACTTAAAGTATTTGTGTGAGTTTTGAGCAAATAAGGACAAACTGAAGCTTCCTGTTAGTCTAGTATTTTTCGACGAGCGAAATTTTTTGCCGTTCTTCTTCATGTCCCTTCCAGTTTCATCGTCTATTTTCGTCTCAGTTTTCAATGCCACTCTGTGAACTGAAATTTGTGGCCGAAATTACTGAGTTTAACTCCCATCATTTTCTTAACGTGATTTCTCTAGAAGAAAATCATGCCCAAGCAGCTGTTGTCTTAGAAGATCGCGTAGGCCATCAAGGTGTTGCTATCATATTTGGTGCTCTCGACTCACGAGTGACCGCTGGCGATGACTCGATAGCTTTCGCTAATCACCTTCACACATCCACCATCATCTGAAAAGCACGCAGGACATCCTCTAGCGCATTTGACGACAATCGCTCACCACTAACCCCATATCCGCTTGCCATTGGATTTCGTTTCGTGGGAACGTTTGTGCCAAGACGTTTTGCACCTTTTCATCGTGATGACTTAAAATATGTTCGAATAACTTCTTGAATCTACCCTATTGTTCACTTTGGGCGGACACCGGTGTGCACGTTTTTACTTGTTATTAATATGAATGACGTTTCTGGTACACATAAATCTCTATTTAGTTCATTATTCGTTGTGTAATTTACTGAATAAACCTATTTGCTTATGTTTAACGTTTTGTTTTCTGCCTTCTATAATTTTCACGGCAGGTTACTAAGCGAAATAAAACCACAACGTTGCTGAGATATTTGCAAAACTCTAGACCGCAGGTGTCTATGGTGCGGAACGAACGCGCTATTATCCTTCCCGGGGAGTAACGCGTTCACCACCACACCAAGCGGGTCCTTCGTTTCGTCTGTCTCTCAGCTATTTCTATCGATCGTACCATGTCTGCCATGAAAATTATAGAAGGCAGAAAACAAAACATTGAACATTGTGATTTCAACTACAGCCATAGCTTAACTGGGTTCTAAGCCGATTTGCGCTCCCCAGATCAAGCTCGCTGACGGGGGATTGCTGCGGCAAAAAGATCGATAGAAATAGCTGAGAGACAGGCGAAACGAAGGACCCGCATGATGTGGTGGTGAACGCGTTACTCCCCGGAAAGGACAATAACGCGTTCGTTCCCCACCATAGACACTTATTTACTTAGTTTGACCATTCTCTTCTCTTACTATCTTTGGTTCCTTAAGTCAAGATAAGACTGAAAATAACAAACACAACGGTTTTGCTAAAGTAGTTACTCTTGGTTGAATGATCAGTCGCAATCGATCATGTTGGACGTACCGTGTTACTAATGTATTTTATAAACTGTGTTGTTATTATTGGCTATCAGAATTCTTAATTATTATCATCTGTGCTTGACTCGAGTTGTAGATCGAAAAGCAGATGTAAGCCGCTCAATCATACAAAAAGAGATGGAAGAGCGAGAACGATGGAGGGAGAAATGAAGAGAGAGAGTGAGACCGGAAGAATTAAAGAAGCGGCTTCCAAACAAGGTCTAAAACGCAATGATGTAGTCTTTTGCAAATATACAATTTTTAGTTGGACTGCCAAGGTACCGCATTGGCTTCGCAGTTATGCTGTGCAACTACCGTACTGGATCCTGCGTTTGGATAATCAAATCTTTGCTGAGAAATACCAATACAGCAGTATCGACCGAAAAACTGAACTTTTTCCTGGAATCAAAGCCTTCTGACAACATTTCAAAACCGATTTTCCTTCAAGCTCGACATGATAAGTCAACATGTGTTTAAATTTTTGATCTTACACGAGGTTGGTAAATAGGTTTTATTCGGCTGTCGGCCAACGCCTCGACATCTTCGCTTTTATCAGATCAGGTGACCACAGTCGATGCTCCACAGTTATCCGTCTTCTCGATTTGGCTTCCATTTGTCTTCGTATCGAAATGGACCTTCCGCAGTGGAGCATCTCTCGAATGAGGCATACTCACTCGTCGAAGCTGTTTTTTACAGGTTGCTGGTTATTGATAATAGTGATTGATCGGTGACAACGACTTGTTCTTCTTGAACAATCTACTCTGCACAAGTATGTATTGCTGTGAGCTGGCATATAGCGTAACAATACTTCAGAACTGACTTTCCTTTCCTTCTTCTTACAATGTTACAACTGAGAATGAAACAGCACATGATGGGTCTTAGCGTGCGTAAGACTGTAAGAACACTAAATGTTTACTCTGTAAAAGTTTTCCAACAGATGTTTTAAAGTTTCTACCTTTAAAATCATCCTGAGCGCGTTTTGCTGATTTCAAACGCTACGGAAAGTTTTTAATCATTCGTCAAAAAGCCTTATTCGCCAGTAATCCAATGCCAGCTTTCCATCAATTTATAGACTTTGCATTCCATTTTGCAATATACGCTTCTGGAATATCTGTCTTATACCACCAATTAGTCTTATTTGCTGAAAACACGATGCAAGTAGAACAGCGTTATCCAACTTCATAATCAGAGATGTATCTCTCAGAGAAAAGAAAAAGCTTCTCATTGCGAAAGCCATGGAAGCTGAATGAACATCCTTTGAATCAATCACGAAAAATTTCAACACCAAAAACAGGTAAAGAGATCTGATGACAAAGAGTACAAGGTTTGCTATATACAGGTATGCGGCTTCAAACCTGCTCTCCTTTCCCAAAAAACGAGGAGAAGTACTCGAACGCTTTTACCCTATGATATTATTTGATATTCACATTATCCTTTACCAGTTCCCAAGATCGACTTTCTATTAACCTCGTCATTAGATTATAAATCTGTTGTTCTCTTTTTTACAGCAATCGCGAGGTTGTTATTCAGCACACTTTTACTTCCTCACAAGTATAGCACATACAGCACAACGGTAGCTGACGTTTCAGCAGCATCGCCTTTTGCAAAGCCTGGAAGGGTACTCTGATATGTAATTTGCTAGGTCAAACGATTCAACAACGCAAACAGAAAGATGAAAATCTGTACAATAATTACACGATCGCCGACTTCTCGAAAAGCCCACCGTTTTTATATGTTTTTCACCGAGGAAGAACAGCCGCTTAGAGTCGCATATGCTTGACTACTGCTCCACCCCACAGCAAAAGTCAGTTCTGATTCCGAATCAGATAGGGGGCTAGATCACGCATTATCTCAAGAAATTCTTCCCTGCTATTCATTTTCGGATTTTTGGAATTCCTCCAAAAAGCGTCGAGCAATTTGAGCGATGATGTTTTAGTCTCCCGTGCAAGGATATCGACTTTTACATCAAAATCCTCTCCCTTATGTTTTTGTACTCTAGGCGAGCCTAATGGCGTGCGTTGTTTTGATTTTCGTTTACCATCTAGGTGATCTTTTATACGGATGCACAAAGGTCTGCCCGTTTTGCCAATATATTAATCTCCGAAGTTATTATGAAGGTGAAGGTGACTGCATGGAAGAGAACAGGTATATCGTACCTGAACTCATGCATGCAGTCACCGTCCCTACCGTAGGTGCAAATTACGCAATTTGTTGTTTACATAGACGGACATACAGGCGGTTACGAACAAACTGACGATGTAGAGTAGCGGATAGTATTTCAACTATCGCTACCGATTCCTTTAGATCTGCCCTTCTTAGATCTGCATCGCTTTATCGCTACACTTATTTCGTAGCGAATGAAGGGCAAAATAACCGAGATTTTGTTTCTACCAAACCCTTCGTTTTAGGGCGCCGCTCTCGTTCTAAAATTGTCTTATGGGGTTGCTATTTCGTAGCCATTGGAGATGGCATTTTCCCGAGCCAAGTTTTTCGATTTTTTCTTTAGTTCCTTACTTGCGCACACAGAAGTGGCTGTTCATGTTTCTCACAATCGCCCTCTTTGTGTGTGAAGAGTGGGAAGAAAGGAAATGAACGAGGATGTTCTTGTTACCTGGCTTCCGGTACCACTTTGTCATGTAACCGCTATTCAACAGGTTTATTTGAGCGTTTAAAAACGGAACCAATTTTTTTCGGTTTCTTCCGGATGAACTTAATGTACTCAGATTGCTCGTTCAATAATTCGATGCAGTTGTCCATCTTCTCCTGCATAGATAAGAAAACAAAACAATCATAAATTGCATATCAGTGTATCCTTCCAGGCTCTGCAAAAGGCGATACTGCCGAAAGATCAGCTACCGTTGTGTTTAATGTGTTATCTCTTACCACCCATTTTTCACGGAATTCTGATACGTTACGCACTGACTGGATCGAAAACTTGTAGTCGACCAGTTTCGTTGCCACATCTTACGGAAATTACCGTTTTTACCACTTTACGTTTCCACTCTTTAAAACACATATTTGATCTCTTCTCTTGGCTACTGGGTTAGTCCCCTTCTCCTTCTCCTTCCACACGCCCTTCTCCTTAAAGATATATTATGTAATTAAAAAATCGCTCCAAATATTGTTGTGAGGACCTGTACTTAATAGTTTCGCCTAAGCGGCTTTTAATCTCGTCTCTGACTTCAATATTAACAGAGTTCAAATGTTCCGTTGACGGGTGATTGCTGATGGCAAAAGATCGATATAACTACCTGAGAGACAGGCGAAACGAAGGACCGGCATGGTGTGGTGGTGAGCGCGTTCGTTCTCCACCGCATACACATGCTGTTCGCAGTTTTGCAAATATCTCAGCATCATTAAAGTTACATTTCGCAATATATACCTCGCTCATTATTTATAATGTTACCTTCACATTTCCAACGATAAGGTATAGAGTCTCTTTGTGATCACCCCTAAATTACTATATAGAAGGTCAACAAATGCCTAATCAACCAGGAGAGATAATAATTTGTATTCATCTGTACCATGGAAAAAAGATGCACGCACCGACCTTCAAGTGTTAATGAATTTCTAGGGTTATAATAGAATGTGGTTACTAGCGCAAGAAAAAGATCATGGTTATTTGTAGTATCCAAAATCTTGTAATATTGTTGGAAAAGGTTACGTTACCTTAACCCTCTATTCAAGCACCATTGCACCGCCCCACATCTGTCGGCCTACAAATGTTCGGTTTTCAGTTTTTTCTCAGTGATTCTCAGTTAGTACTCTTTTCCTCTTCGTCACACATGAGATAGCCAAATCGGTCTTTTCAGAAAAAGGCTTTTTTTAAAATTCTTCACCAATGTGCTCTTGTGCCCTATATGCACCAAGAGTTTTTGTCGAATTTTAGCTTTTCCACCTGGATGTTATCTTATGCGGACACAAAGTGGTCTGCCCGTTTCCCTTATCTATTCCTCACCACATGCCTTACATGAGATTAAGTACATTGTACTTGAACTCATGATATCCCCACCGCTCCCGTTAGGGCAAAGTACACAGTTTTCTGAGCCGCACAAACGATCATAAAGGCGGTTGCAACTAGCTGAC